AACGAATGAATTACTGTTAAGATGAATAGTTGCAGGAAGTGAAGTAAGTAAGGGTTGACCGAATGCGGCGAAACATTGTTCGCCAGGATGTTGTTTGTTGCGACGCACGAGATTCACGTTCATCGATACAACCTGTCGTTAATTTATCTTATGAGCATTTTTTTAATCGATTACTTCTGCACCAAGTACTCTTTTTAAGAACCTACAGACCAAAATTTCTTCTTGAACAGAAATCTATTTTGCAAATGTGTTTGAGCCGGAAAAGAATCGAACCATTGGCCTTCATATCCGCACATCTACTGTGTGTCTACACTTTAAGGTAGCATGCATTTTGGCTTGCCTACTTGCTTTCCGGGAAGCAGTACATGCTTTTTTGTTGCGGTTTCTGCGTTAACTGCTTTTCGCGCTTTCTCCGTGACAAGTTCCATTCTGGTGCATCCTTTATGCACCCATGCCCAAATAAACTCGTTTATTCTGCAGCTTTGAAAAATGTGCTTGAGGCAGTAGTTTCACTGCAACTTGCCTTGAAGCCAATTGTAGAACGTAATGATTCCTTGGTAATTCGTTTTGCCAGTGTTGACTTGATACGTAAATTCGTGCTGCTCTGCTCTGCTTCATAATACACCATCGAGAGAAACTGAATATTGTTGCTGTTAGATTTTTTCGGGAAAAGCCGTTTTGGTTAATGCTAAGTTCCAGTTTCTTACATAAAGTTGGACAAACAAAAACGCAGCATAGGTGATGCGTGGGAAATTGGATTTGTTAAATTTATACCTGACTGAATCTCTGTACATCATCCGGATGAATGTAATGCTCGATCCTATTCCCCGTGACGTCTACCTTAAAAAAATCACATACTTAACTAGCTACTGTTGTGTTCGCAAGAGGTCATCATACTCACCAGACATTCGGTATGAAACTCTCTGTTTTTCTGAGATTCAGGCTTCAGTGCCAGGCTATTCTGCTTGCACTTTCACAAAGTTTATTTGTTCCTTTATCCCAAGTGTCATCACTAGGAAAAATTCCAGCAATCCTTTTGTCGAGAAGATGCAGTTTCTCGAGAAGTGTGATAAATCCAGTCAAAATTAAATTTCAGATTATGTGTACTCATATAGTATTTTTGTACGAAGACTGTGCAATTACACTTTCATTCCTCGCAATTGTATGTGTTGGCGCCAGGAATATGAGTCAGCTAAGAGTAGCTGCTCAGATTCCTCGGTCAGATCTTAGGGATAGGTAATCTTCCACCAAAATGCCTATCCCTGACAGTGGAGATCTGAGTTTCCTAGCACCGACGGACTAGAAGTCGCCCGAAGCCCGTCGGCCGACTTCCTCATTCTTCAAGGAGCGAAAACAAGCTGCGGCAGGAGCAACGAAGGCAGAGGGAATGTTTCCACCTCACTTTTCGCGTTTATTGGTATTTTACGTGGTTTGTTATGTATGCTCTTGTTTAACGTTTCGCGTTTGACATTCCTTATTTTTTCAATCATTTATTGATAAAGGCTATA